GGGCACCAGCAGCGCCAAGAGGACCAGGGAGGCCTTGACCGCCCTCAGGGCCAGGGCCCGCCGCGGCCGCCCCATGGCCACCCCACCCTTCCTCCTCCTCCTGCTCCGAGTGAACTAGGTCCCACTGGGAATGGCAGATGGGAGGCCTTTGGGCATCTCCAGGGCCTCCCAGGTTGGAATGGAAGTAGCTTAAATGGGAGGCTCGAGGGCAGGTAAGCAGAGAGGCTGGGACCTGGGCGGCCCTAGGCAGGAACAGCTCCTGGTGGCAGGCGCCTTTGCATTGCGTCTTTGAAGGCTGGTCTCAGGAGGAACTGACCTGCCAGGTGGCCTTGCTGGCAGATGGGGCGGAGGCCAGGACCCCTCAGGGTTCTAGATGCCCCCAGCCTCTGTGACATCATCCACTGACATTCTGCCCCCAGCGGCCTGAGCCTGTGGCCGAGATAGAATTCCTAGGTGTGTGACCGGAGGGGCCCAGGCAGTCTCCAAAAAGTGTTCTGGGAGTCTCGGAGCACCCCCGGCTCCTCTATGGTGTGAGGCCTTATGTGAGCCTGTGGCCCCGAGTGGCACAGATCCAGGACTCACACTCACACTCCACAGGCATCATCTCCCTGTGCCTCTCAGTGACCAACAAAGGAAGTGCCAATGTTACCTTACTATTCCTCCAACGTGCTGAGCACGGTTCTGCCCCAGGACCTTGGCACAGGCTATTTCTTCTGTCTACAGTGACCTTTCTCCCTGTGCCGGCTATTTCTCGTGACTCAGGGAGAATCTGTCTGAGTTCATATGCACTCAGAGTCTAACTAGACTTGATCTGAAGGGAGAGAGAAGGGCCAAGGGCAAGGTGGGGCTGGCCGGGGTGGTGGTCACACATCCTCACTGCCTGGTAGGCCTCCTGCACCCGCTTTATTCTCTCACTTTAGAGGTTTCTCTCCAGCTGAGTCTCTGTTCCCCATTCCTCAGCCAGAACTCTGGGCATCAGCCTCACGTCCTCCCCACTTCTCATCCCCAAAATATCCCAACTTGAGTCTGTCTCCTACTCAACTAGGCAGCCTGCTCAAGCCTTGATTCCTGGCTCAACTGTGTGATGTAGGTAAATCACTTACCTTCTTTGGGCCTCAGCTTCCGGCTCTGTGAAATGGGCATAATGATAAGTAACCGATCTTATAGAACTGGTGGTGTGAAAATTAAATGAGGTAATACATGACTGCTGCTCACCCTAGGGTCTGACTTTGTCATTCCCCCCAGAACAGACCTGCCTCTAGTTTGCAACCCTTCCAGTTCATCACCACATGGCAGTCGGGGATTTTTCTAAAATCCCAGTCTTCTGATCTCTCCCATGCTTTAAACTCTCCCATGGCTCCCCACTGCCTCCAGATAAAGCCCACCCTCTTCTCTGTGCCAGTCGAGCCCCTGCCAACCTCAAAAACCAGAATGCTTTTCAAGGCTCCACCTACATCATGATTGGTTGACCTCTAGAGCTTTGCAAATGCCTTTCCTCCTGCTGGGAACAGAATTCTCTCTCAACTGCATTTTGCCAGGTTGACCACTTATTCTTTAGGTTTTTTCTCTGTTGGTCTAATACAGTGGTTCTCAACCTTCCTAATGCCGCGACCCTTTAATACAATTCCTCATGTTGTGGTGACCCCCAATTTCATTGTTACAAATTGAACATAATTAAAGCATAGTGATTTATCACAAAAACAATATGTAATTAT